TTGTACTGGTGATCAGGAGGAAGTTTAAAGTTTTTGTACTGGTGATCAGGAGGAAGTGAACATTGTAGTTTTTCTTCAGTAAACCCAGCGTTTGTCTGGGGTGTGTGAATCATTTTGATGGTTTTTGGTTTAGTTTCAGTCCCAAAGGTTTCCTGTCCTGTTGATCTTTTCAGGCCTTAAATTTTTCTTTCCGTCGCCGCGTTTGAACACGTGCGTGGTCTAATGTGCACAGCATGTTTTTAATTTCAACACGGACGTTACTTTGTTTCTGTGTTCTCACCCAAACATGTGAAGTGCACAGAGTTTACTGCCAACACCTGAGATCAAGGACAGGAAGCTAACGAGGTTTCTTACTGAGCGAGTCCAGCAGATTCCTGAATTTTTCTTTGGGGGAGATTTCTGCCACGCTTGTTTTAAAGTTTTGTCGAGTCAGCAACTGTAAATGTCTAAAGGCTCTGAGCTGCCCCCTCCGGTCTCTCTGTGCACGGCTGCAGACTCCTTGGATAACGGTGATGGACAGCAGCACAGTGTCCACATGTCACTACCCTCATGCACACGCACACTTTCACGCATGAACGTAAACACTGATCTGCTGCGAAAACTAAATTCACGTTTCCATAAAGAAACTGTCGGAGCTTCAGTCCGGTTACATTCTCACCATGTAAGACTTCGGATAAGCACCTCCATTAAATATCTGTGCGCCGCCTCAATCGATACATGTACACCAGTGGTGGGGGGGTCGTAGGGGGAGGGGGGGGGGGGGTGTATTTGGACAGAAACCAAAATATGAGAAGTTTAACTGTTTGTCCTTCAGGTTTGTTTCTGCTGTAAACTTGTCGGTGTCGACCCCCCCCCACTCTTTGGGCTGTGTGACAGTACAGAGTGTTGTACATGTATCGTTTGAGGGGGGGCACAGATATTTAATGGTGGTGCTTGTCCGAAGTCTTACATGGTGAGAATGTAACCGGACTGAAGCTCCGACAGTTTCTTTATGGAAACGTGAATTTAGTTTTCGCAGCAGATCAGTGTTTACGTTCATGCGTGAAAGTGTGCGTGTGCATGAGGGGGTGGCTGTGGTGAAAAGTTTAAAAAGAGTGGAAAATATGAAATTAGTTGCACTTTTAAATTTATTTTCATTGGAAATGCAAACGAGCTTCTTTTGATTGTGACGACGACGTTGATGGTTATGAATTTAATTTCTCAGCACTTTGACAACACTGGAGTTTTTCCTTTGGATGGAAACATACATGTGCACCAGGAAGTGTGTTTGAAGAGGAAATAAAGATTATTAAAGGCATCTCCTCATTAGTGTTTCTAGTTTTTAATCATCAAGATTGGACATTTATCATTTTATTTATTTAAAAAACATTTCGGACAACCTGCAAATACACATTTGAGACCCAAAGTAAAATGGGTTCATTTAAGTTAAATGTGAACGAATAAAAGTTGATTTTGTGTCCAGTTGTAACAAAGAACACCTGGAGAACATGTCACAGCGTTCATACAAGTTTACATACACATGACATGCACGTGCAGATCTGATGACGTACAGATCTGCACGTGCACGTACAGATCTGATGACGTGCATGTACAGGTCTTTTAAGTGCACGTACAGATCTGATGACGTGCACGTACAGGTCTTAAGTGCACGTACAGATCTGATGACGTACAAATCTGATGACGTGCACGTACAGCTCTGATGATGTGCACGTACAGCTCTGATGACGTGCACGTACAGGTCTTTTAAGTGCACGTACAGATCTGATGACGTGCATGTACAGGTCTTTTAAAGTGCACGTACAGATCTGATGACGTGCACGTACAGATCTGATGACGTGCATGTACAGGTCTTTTAAGTGCACGTACAGATCTGATGACCTGCACGTACAGATCTGATGACGTGCACGTACAGGTCTTTTAAGTGCACGTACAGATCTGATGACGTGCACGTACAGGTCTTTTAAGTGCACGTACAGATCTGATGATGTACAGATCTGATGACGTGCACGTACAGATCTGATGACGTGCATGTACAGATCTGATGACGTGCACGTTCAGATCTGATGATGTGCACGTACAGATCTGATGATGTGCACGTACAGATCTGATGATGTACAGATCTGATGACGTGCACGTACAGATCTGATGATGTACAGATCTGATGACGTGCACGTACAGATCTGATGACGTGCACGTACAGATCTGATGACGTGCACGTACAGATCTGATGACGTGCACGTACAGATCTGATGACGTGCACGTACAGATCTGATGACGTACAGATCTGATGACGTGCACGTACAGATCTGATGACGTGCACGTACAGGTCTGATGACGTGCACGTACAGATCTGATGACGTGCACGTACAGGTCTGATGACGTACAGATCTGATGACGTGCACGTACAGATCTGATGACGTGCACGTACAGATCTGATGACGTACAGATCTGATGACGTGCACGTACAGATCTGATGACGTACAGATCTGATGACGTGCACGTACACATCACCTTTGTGTTGTCACATTAGAGGACGGCTGCTCTAACTGCTCAGCCAAAGCCGCCTGACGACAACACACCCTGTGCAAAGAAGGAAGATGCAGTAGATGGTCCATCATTGATTCATGCAGGCTCCATCCATCATCTTTACCTGCTTCTTCCGTTCTGGGTCACAGGGGCCACTGGTGCCCATGTCCAGCCACCACTGTGTGAGAGGCAGGGGACACCTGGACTGTCTTCAGTCCATCACAGTATTTGACATACAGATGAAGAACAACGTGGTGAAGTGTAATGTTCAGCGTCTTGGCTTTGGTGGAGGTTGTTCATTCAACAGACTCCGTGTGGGGGTAGATGTGGGCCAGTCTCCTGGTTCTCATGCTTTTACCACGTAATGATCTAAAACTTGTAGCTGAAGGAAGCAGCTGGTAGTGATGTGCACAAAGTGGTTGCTGTAAATCGTGCTGATCGTTGGTACGTAAGCCTGATGATCTTGTTCGCTGCCTGCACCAGGGTTCGCTCCGTCTTGGTGCAGCTGGAGAACCACTGCAGGAGACCACATGATGGCACCAGTGACATGCAGTGAGTTTAGTGACAGCTGAGGCTAACTCGTCTGGGATCGGATGCTCACATATATGACCCCAGCATAAAAGCTTATATTTCAATTTAGCCTTTTTTTCTTTTAAAAAGACATCTAATTATGCTTTCATCAGCTCCATACTCTAACCTTTATTTAAAGATGAATGAGTTTAGAAAAATCCTTTAGTTTTGAGATATGATCTTCCATTTTGTGTAAACAAATTTAAACAAGTCTTCGTAACAGAAGAACGTAGAGCGACTGCACCTGCTTCACTGTCTCTGTGGGGCAGAACTGTCCATGTCAATTTATTTCTATAGCACATACAAACAACAACAGCTGACCAAAGTGCTTTACATCCTGATGCATGCTCAATAATCCAGGTAGAAAAATCTAAAAAAGTTAAATCTGGTCCTCTGGACATTCAAAAAAACAAAACAAAGCAAATCAACAACAAAAAAAAAAAAAAATGTAGAAACGTTTCGTCTCTCATCCTGAGGACTTCCTCAGTCTGAGGTGCTGTATTCAGCTCAGTCTCTTAAATAGCACCTTCTCGGAGTGGATCAAGCAGTTTTGTTTTTTTGAATGTCCAGAGGACCAGATTTAACTTTTTTAGAAAGTGCTTTACAGTTAAGACAGATAAAAAGAGTAAAAAATGCTTCGAGTGCCACTCAGAAACAGAAGAAAGTTAACAGTTAATACACAACAACAATAAAATCAGCTCTAAATTTGTTCTCAGACTTTGCGTGGATCGAATGCCAAGAATTCAGATGAGTCTTCAGCAAAGATTTAAAAGTCTCAACAGTCTGAGCGCTCTTTAAATTCTCTGCTAAACTGTTCCACAGTTCAGGAGCAGCAGCTGTAAAAAGCCCGATCACCTCTGGACTTCAGCTTGGATCTGGAGACATTGAAGAAGAACTGGTTGGTAGACCGGAGTGCTCTTACTGGAGTGCAGATGTTAAAAAGATCACATAAATATAACGGGGCCAGACCTTTTAATTTAAAAACAAGCAATTAAATCTTAAAATCAATCCGGAAGTGGACAGGAAGCCAGTGGAGAGAAGCCAGGACAGGGGTTATGTGTTTGTAGTTTTTAGTTGCTGTTAAAATACTGCTGCGGTCTGGAAGGATTGTAAGCACTGCCCCCTATTGGTGCGGTAAAGAACTTTCTGCCTCACCCCTGT